TGTCTACGCAATATATTAGGACATTGTTATATTTAGTTATAATTATATTGAAATTTCTTCCATGATTAGAATCCTTTCGGCACACTGACTGGTCTTTCAGCAGCGAAAGATAGGACAGTTCTTCTTACAAACTTGTCCGCAATCTATGTAATAATTTATTGCAGAAAATTGAGAGATAGATAAGAGTGCGAGCTAACTTCCATAAAAATCAATCAAGCTCCATAAAAAAATCAAAAAAAATCAAGTTCCGAGCCATTAACTACGTTTTCACTTATAGACTAATATAGACTAATTCATCCCAAAATTGAAGACGTGCCCTCAACAGTAAAAATGAAAATACTGATGTTGCCTGGAGAAAGATATGATGATAATGAAGGAGATAAGGAAGGTGAATGGAAATGCAAGTAATCTGAGGTAGTACTATCGAGCTCAACATCTACAGAGATCTTAATTGCCATTATAATAGAATAGAAATTGCTTTCATAATCTCCGGTTATTTCTAAATTTAAAATTTTCTCGTTTAAATTGGACTAAATATTTATTTCAAACATAAAAATGCAATTAGAGAGGAAAAATCATTGAAAGGATGCGATAAGAGATAAAGTAAGGATCTCCTTTGTGTGCAAACTTTAACATCAACATATTGAAAAGTGACTGTACAAAATGATATTTCTCTTTTTGCTGAAGAAATCACCATCACAAAAAAAGGACGATGATTCGTTGGAAGGGAAGAAAAACAGTGATTCATTAACAGTTTCTAAAAGTAATGGTCCTAGTCAAAGTACTGTTTAATTTATAACTTCTGATCTGCATTTCAATTTATAAAGAAATGATATGCTAATTAGAATGAGGCTTATTCTATATTATGTATAAAATTTGTCTTTCTACCTGTAAAACATAAAGAAAAAAGTAACAAATATATTCTGTATTTCTCGTCTCCGAATGTATGACAGATTATCAAAAATCATTTTGTCTCCGAGAAAGAATAACTAATCTAACCGAGAAAAAGCACCTTATTAAAGCTAACTTCACGATAGATTTACAATGCTTCGCGTAAGCACAAGACAAAAAACGAAACCAATTTGGATTCCTGTCATGCGCTTATTAAAATGATTGGGATTAGATTTACAAGATGATATCAATAATTCCAAAAGTCTCATACTCTTCTAGTCTAAGCCTTTTATATTAACCCACAAAAACTCAATCCAAATTCTCAAAAACTCCAGCAGAGAATACTGAAAGGAAAGTGATTAAGGAATAAGACATTGTTATCTCCCAACAAAAACCAATTTTGTTTTTGCCACTGTACTGCACGATATGTAAAAATAATCAAAATATGTTGAATTTCTAAGAAAAGATTTAGGGATCCTAGTCAACAAGTAAAAAATTATTCTTGCGCCGTATAAGCCGGAAATTCGAGTATAGATTTCTAAAAAATGATGCGAGCCTAAACTTGTTTTCCCTTTCATGCTTTTTTTCTCCTTTATTCGGCGCTTTTTTCCTATTTCTTCAAGTCTTCTCATCTGAAAATCTTTTCGTAGCTTGATTAAAACCAAAATGAAAAAAAGGTGTTTAATTTCCATTTCAGTTTTTTTGCCTTTTATTCATCTTTTTATTCATCATGCTTTTTGTTTAATTTAAAAAGGAAAAGAACCAATGAAACTACGCCGCTATGATACCGAAATAGAATCTCAAACAAGAAACACTTTGCATATACCAGTTTGCTCACAAAAATTAATGCAAAGTGAAATTTAATTTAATTCAATGTAAATCTGAAGTATCATGAAATTATAAAAGAGAGAGAAAGGAAAACTGATATGACCTTATCCGACTAGAATAAGTTATCACCTTTGCTCGCTAGACAATTCCATGTCATGCACTCGCCATTATCCTTCGATCAGTCCTATCACAATAAAAACCTCTTTCGAGAGTTATAGAAAACATTGATTCATCAAGAATAAGGTTAAAGATTATATGAATTAAATTTGAACCAATGTAAACATAAATGCAATATCCGTACATATTTCTCATAAACTATACAAACTTGCTAAATTCTACAACTTCCTTTAGTTCAATTCGAATTTTTATATTTTGACCTAAATTCCTTCCATTATTTTTTCTTCTCTTTCTCATTCTTTAAAACCATCCTGTCCATAATGGTGAAGAGTAAGTTTTTGAAATTCAAAAGGTTGTTGCAAAAATGTTGCTTCTATCAGTCATTGAATCGAAACCAGTAGCAACTACACTCAAATAAAATCATACCTCGTTTGGAATAAAACTTTTAATTTGTGTTACATTTGAAAATATGAAAAATACTATCCAATAGAACTTTGCAGTCCGTTTAAAATAAAAGATAGTGTAAAACCGGAAAATCTGTAATAAAATAAATGGCTATTAATCAGTAACCGCTTTCCTCGATTACTAACAGAAATGATTAGATCTCTATTGACTAAGCATAGCTTTAATTCTTATTCACAATCTCCAAGGATAATAAAATGAAAGTTAAAGGATAAATTCCCGACGACTACTTTTTAACAAAAAAAGAATTATAAGGGAATGTATTAAAACGTCATCGGAGAGCTTAAAGTTCTAATCTTCAAAAGTCCGAGCATTATGAAGAATATAAATTACCTGCTTGTCATATGAAATTGAAGAGACCAAATGATAAACAGCAGAATATAAATTTAGTACTGTAAAAAGACAATCATTGTATTGCTTGATTATCATTTGACATTTTGTAGGACAAAAGTAATTTTCCAGGGCTATGGCGAGAATTTCGCGTAGTTGCAAAAGAAAGCTTATGATGCATAAAAGGATGACCACAGAATTATTCAGATAAAGTCCTAATACCCTTTTTGACATGTTGCACTGGTGTCAGGACCAGTGATCCAAAAAATCTGATAGCCTACTACATAATGAACCAAAAGGCAATATGAGATTAAGAATGATAAGGGAGCTGGATTTTCATTCAACCCCATTATTTTCGGAAATCATGGGGAGATTATCATTTTCCCTTTATGAATCGTTCATTTGCTCTTGTTACAATTCACAATTCGGAAATTTCATTGATGAATTGATTTACAGAAACACAAACAGTGCACCAAGATGTCTCTTAACTTCTGATATTTCTTTAAGAAAATGAGTGATAATCATACTTCTTTTCTATTCATCATTATTTATGACTAAGCTAAATGACTAGTAATCTTATAGCACCTATTGACCATATCATCCGCTTATCATACAAGAGGGATTCTTACCACTTTTAAAAATAACACGTTTATACTGATTAATTATGATTAAATTAAATGCCTATGATAAGATATAACATTTATGGTGAGATTTTTCAACCCATTCTCTTTTCTACATATACAGATAGGTGATTCCCGAGTGATATTTCAACAACTACTTCTCAAAATCAATACAGCAACTGTTTATGCAATAACGTTCACCAGTTTCCTTCGGTCCATCATTGAAAACATGGCCCAAATGAGCATCACACTAAAAAGATACAAATTGAAGGTCCTTTTAATATTGAATTTTAAAACAGTTCGGAAGCTTGCAGTAAATAACAAATTCCCTTTTTTAAAAGAAAAAAAAAATACATCCATGAAATTTCCGATGTTACTGAAATATTGTTTGAGGATGATATATTCACCTGTTTACATCGCACTTCAATGCGCTCCATCTCCATGGAGGTGTCCTTTAACCTCACTATATTCAAATCATTATCCACAGATTTTGAGAAAGATGGCCAGCCGCATGTCGATTTGAATTTAGCGTCCGATCTGAAACTTTTGATAGATTTCATTTAATTTTTTTGTGTTTTCAGAGAGATAGATTTCATTTAATTTTTGTGTTTTCAGAGAGATAGATTTCATTTAATTTTAAACTTTAGTAAAAAATGTACTTGAAAAGTTGTGCTCCACAACAGCGACAGATATATAACCCGGATTCGAAGTGTTTATTAAATTTTCCTGAGAACGGTCTTTCGGTACCACCCTCTCGAGCAACACTATATTCCAAAGGACTTAAAATCTTTCTCCATTCATCTGGTGTTACCTGTTGTGGATCCTGCTTGCCTAGCGCATCAATCGCACTTTTTCCTAGAAATTTCAAAAGAGCTTCTGCCGAACAGAATGGTGGAAACATTTATATATAAAGCACGTTATATATGTTCGTTCAAGTTATAATTATATATATATATATATATATATATATATATATATATATATAATAATAATAGATAGATAGATAGATAGATAGATAGATAATATGTCGAAGTTCGATTATTACACTGAGAACATACAAAAATTGTAGATAAATGTGACTGAATGACATATATTGAACAACCGTTAGCAAGAGAGAGTCATTAAAGTTAAACAAACCTGTTGCGCTGGTAGCCATGAAACACGTTGATTTGAATAGTTCTGAAAAGCAATGAACTAAAATGAAACAATCTCTTGTAGCAAGCCAAGGCCTGCTTTGCATCCTTTAATTCTCCTTTAGTCCTTCCCCCTTTGCTCTCCTTAAATCAAATTTTCGTTTTTTAAAAAGAAACAGCATAACTACAACGTTTCACTATTCTTTCATGAATTAGCTACGAACTGAAGAAAAAAAATGTCATTTCATCAACAGGTCGCTATAACTCCTGACGTATCCCTCTTCTCCTTCCACCAAATGACGACTAGTATTCCTCAGTTTAATTCTGATACTTTAAACCACTATACTTAATAGAAGAACTAATACACATAATAATGCGACAAATTTTTCACACTCCATTTACTTTACCTATTGCTCCACTGCAAGAAACAACTATTGCATATATGTTGCATGCTATCAGTGGTTAGGGTGGGTAAGTGCGTGACACGGGTAGGTACCTGTAGCATTTGGGCTTGGCTTGGTAACAAGGTGTAGTGTAAGGTGTTGAACATTTTTGCTGAAACACCTTTCTTAAATGTATTTGGGTTAGGTCAGCTTAAAAATACATTGCAGATTCATACATGGCTGACGGAAGTTTCCGACCGCTGACGGCTAAGGAAATTCGTAAACACATTGAACAGCGCGGCGAAGACAAACAGTCACAACAGATGCAAAAGTGATGTTTTTGTGTCATAAATGTTTCTAGTATTTTATTTGTTCAGAAATTTTTCTTTGCAAGCTGTTCTCTTAGAAGGTAATAAAGAAGGAGTGAAGAAAAATGCAGTAAACTGAAGTACTTATATCGAGGTCTCAACTTTTATGCCCCTGTTGATCCTTCAGTAATGGCCATTTTGAAATAAAAGAATAAAACACCCATGCAACATAACTGTAGATTTACTTAATGATCTTGACTTCACATAGTGATGTTAACTTCACGTAGTGTTAGCAAGGATTGTTACTAAATCTTGTGCCTCTTAATACTTCCAGTTTCATCTTAGGAGAAGTTGCCCTGAAAAGCAAATTTTTTGGCTTTTCATCGAAACGCAATATTTTGCAGGAGATCTGATGATGATGACATGGAAAGATCAGATAATCTGGGGAGAAAGAATGAAGATGGCTGGTTTTGTGACCGGAAATATGGTCGGAAAAGAAGGAGTATGGAACGACACAGTGACAGTCGACATCGAAGTGATAGACACTACGATCGTGGGCGAGAGACAGATTCGATAATTCGGGAACATAGTTCTGAGCTCAGTTATTCTAGAGAACGAAGCCGAAATCAGTATTCAAGTAAGGAGAGAGAGGTTCAGTATGATCATCGTGGTCGGCATTACAGTGAGGTATCTTTCGTCGCTATATAGTAATACGCTTCGAAGTTAAGTTCAGCACTGTTTTCACGAAATAATGTTCCAGAAAATTACATTGATTTATTAGTGATATCTAAGGCAGTTTTACTGCTTTTAGAATATTTTATGCCATTACTTTTATCATTTCGTGATTACATGTTTGATTTTATGAAGAGTGAGCGGCGGAGCGCTACTCTCTTCTTGACCCTTTTAGAGCGACTCGAAGCAGCATAGAAGCAACAAGCCGTCATACGAACGAAATCGAGCTGTTCGAAAAAACCGTTCTACTTGTCGTCATAGGTATAAAGATTTCTTTATTGATTGGATGTAAAAGTTTTCGTAAATGTACTCGATTTTTATTTTGTACATATAGGATTTATACCATAATCTGGTTCTTCTGCCTGCATAGTATTACCATATAAATGCATAGAACATTTTCGGTTAAATGTAATCCTCATCCCTTTTGAAAAATATTAGATGAATTTAATAATGAAATAGATAACATAGGAAACTAATCATTCACTACTCTTTCGTGTCAGTTTAGGTAAATTTGTTTTAAAAAATACACTACATTTTATATTTTAGTCCAGAGGATAATGAAGATGAAAGCAGTGATCGACCAGCTTGGGCAACTAAAGCTGTTGTGAAAAGAGCAGAGGAAATACAAAAGAGAAAATTGATTTGGAGTAAACCAGAGGAAAAGAAGGTAACTTAAGTTATGTATTGTCTTTAACGAGTAATTATGTTGTACAAAAAGAAATTAATGTTGGAAGTAATTCAATTCTTTTTAAAGCTAATTTAGGAGTGGAAGAGTAATACAGTTTCTTCACTCATTAGTCTGCGACCGTCTACTACTTCTACATGGAACTCTATTCTGGCCGCAAGTTCATCAGATAGCAAGCAGTTGGATAAGTTCAAACGGTTTGTCCAAGTTCTGCGTAATCAAAAGAGTTATCTGAAAAGTTTATGTCTAATACTATCATAGCTTTCACTTCGTTGGATTAAAAAGTGTTAAGGAATAAATAAAGTTTGAAGTCTGGATTCTTTCAAATTATAGTTTAATGGGCATGAAAAAAAGTGATGAAGAAGGTCAAGAGGAAGTGCCAAAAGTGGATGATAATCAAATTGAAGCTGAAAGAAGACGACAGCATGAACTTTACAGTCATTTAGATCATCAGTATGCAGTAGCACGATCTTTTACTCATCTCAGTCGAGGTCAGGGACTTGGCTTCCATCAGTGATTTACTTTTTTCTGATCAAAAGCTGTAGTTATGAATATTTAAACTGCTGCTTCAAAAAGTCTTGTGCGAAATGCTAAATGAATGTAGAAGTTTTTTTTTTTTGAATTCTATGGTATTGTAATATTTTAACAGTTTACTAGTTATAGGGACCTTTTCGTTACTGTAATATATTGGATATTACTGACTCATTTATCGCTTGAATCTTAGTTCAATACATTTTCAAATTTAGTGATATTGTATGTAGTAAAGGTCTTATGAACTCTTTCCTCATTAATTTAGGAAAGTTTCAAGTCATATAGTTTCGGTCTTCGAAAATTGTTTATTACGTTGAAGCTTTAAATATATTTTCCGTTGTCCATTCTGAAAGATCCAGATCTTTGTCATATATTTGATTGGTTGTTGTTTTCAAATGTTTTTTGACATAAAATGTTAGCCTTATTTTAATGATATTCAGAGACAGGCAGAGTGCTGTAGATATTTTATCTTAGTCCTTTTCCCTGGTGTTCTATATTTATTGTCATCCAATTATCAGTTGTTAAATGAATGCTTGCATTCGTACGAAATGATGTAAATATCCTATTCATAGTTCGGAATTAAAGAAAGGATTATTTGAAGAAGATGGGAATTTGGAGCAGAAATCTTTTTGAAGATTTGATGTAAAATATCGATGCTGCCAGATGAATGATAGCAATTGGAGCACGATAATAAAAGCCATCAAGATCATGATGATATTTTGTCGGCAAACCACTCGTGTCTCCAACGTTTTCACCAGTGTTATCTAAAAAATGGAGTTTGGTTTGAAACCTACATTAGTTTTATCCACTTTAATACAATACCACTAATCAACAAGAATAATCATTAGTGGGTGTCGCGTTGTGGACGGAGTTGGTGATGCAGTAGTTCAGTGTATGTGTTTGTGTATCAATAAGCATTGTTCAAGAGTTCGCTGATGCTCGAGTAGCGGTAGTGATTAAGAATCTACTACTGCTTGAAAAACTAATGAGAACAGCACTGCAGATGTCTGAACCAATGAACCGCTCTTTATTTCAGATTCCAATTAATAATCGATGTGATTCTGGTTTAAAATACCTGATATCTCCTTTCCCTAAAGTACATCTCCTTTTTCTCCTTTCTCTAAAAATTTAGATCTGACTGTTTAGGCTTGCGTAATATGCCAATTAAATTCTACTTACTGTGCTGACAGGAAGGTTACTTTCGCTTTCCTTTATGGTGGAATCCATTAATTCTGCAGTAGCTGTTGCCATATGGTTTTCAACAGATAATCGACACCTTAGCTTGTGCTCCACTTTTGTTTCTTCACTCGAGTGTTTCCAAACACTTCCAAAACTTTCAGTGCTTTCTCCGTTTGTTTCGACTGCCATTAGGAGTAATTTCTCGTGTGGAACCGAATTCCGGAATTCTATAACTAATTCGCTTTGGTCCAGTTGATGTAACTGTTTTAGTGGGCAAAAATTTTTTTTTTTTTTTTGTTTTCAGAAGAAGGATTTTATGGCGATATCAATTATGATGCATTTAGGTGTGCAATATTCATAATTCAAGTATGTCACAAAAAATTTCAAGCGATTAATTGGAGAAAATTTTTATTTGTACCTACCATGCTGTAAATAAACTCGGATGAATTCAGTAGCACCGGGAGCAACAGTCCCAGTACTTGGACGTATGCGGAACTTCTCTGGCGAAGTGATTTTGATTTTATATGCAACATTTCGAATACTTTCGTTCTTCAGGACTATGACATCGGCCATATCGTTTTCACCACTCACGTGATTCAATGTCAATTCTTCACGTGGACTAGATTTCATTCATTTTTAAAAAAAAAATATTGCATTTTAAATTCTGCTTGGGTTTGATGAACACATGTAGAGAAGCCATAAGATGTAACTGTAACAGAAACAATCATTCTTGAAGTGCATTTATCACTCTAACAGTGAAGTTAATCAATTCCAATATATAAGTGTGCATATGTATATTAGGATACTGGTAATCTCTTTCGATGAGAAGATCTGTTTGTTCTCAACGAGAAATATGTGGCAAAAACTAACCAGATAGAAAGAAATTTGACCTTAGCATAATCTTTGATTGGAGTGTGTAAACGTGCCTCAGCCAAAGGTCGTAAAGCTTGAGGTAAGCCATTTCGTTTAGTGGCAGAAGGTACAAGTTGTGATGAGGAAGTTAATGAAGTGCCTCGGCTCGTGTTTTCTTCCTCAAATGTGACGGACTGCAATAATTTTAAGGACTATGGCTGTGAAAGACTTACCGTTTCTGATAACAGAAAGAGTTTGTAAAATGCTGATTCTTCATTCTTTCAGCTGAAGATTGTGAGGATGATTTAGTTCATGTAGTCAGATTAATGAAACATACTCTTCTGGAACCCAAGTTATTGAAGTACGTTGTATCATTGAACGGCACATCGCTATTTGCAGTATCGTTTTGAAGTGTATCTTGCTGGTTGTAAATAAGTTCACTCGAGGGCGATCGTAATGGTATACATCTAGCCAATTCATCCATCGTGAACATAAAATTGTCCTGAAATCTTCAGTACTTAAAAAAACGGATAAATCATTTATGGACATTAAGCGATCGGAAATGCTTACTCTGTCATTCTTTTAAATCTATTTAATTAAAATTCTTCCAGAAATCAAATTCACACGACTTTAAATTTTAGTCTACATAAGTTAAGTTACAATGCACTAAACAGTTTTAAATCATAAGTAAGTCACTTTTTATCACATCAGCTACTTTAATAATTATGCTCAAATTAATAAATGTCATCATAGCTAAAACAGTCTCTTCTTGAGCAACGCAAAAGTGTAAAGAGAAGCATCGAGATATAGCTGATATATGTTAGGATCGGGATATCAATATCACATTCATTTCTCTGGTTCATCTTTAATGAATTCTTTTTGGTTTACACTTGTCTTAACAACGTCTCTCGCTTTAACCGCAATCATCATCATTCTTAGAGAAATGAAATAATGGTCGAATCGGGCTGGAGTTAGAGGTCTGCAGAAGAAAAAGTGTCTAAACATTCACTCCGTGCATATGTTCCTGTGTCACATTTAGAGCTTATTTTAAGTTTACGTCTACTTGAAAAGCTGAAAGAAGAAAATACAACCGAAGAATCTGAATGATTCATAACAAAGTGTCGTGTCACATGAAAATTTTTGATAGAAATGTAAACAAAAAAGTAGTCTTCAGTTATCATTTTTAGAGAAATGCTGCTGCAAAAAGTTTATAATGAAATGAGCAATTCAAGCGAACGAGATAGGAAACGCTTTTTTACGAGCAGCGATGTCGACTTGAAATGCATCCTCTATGCCATTGATTACACATTTTTGCTAAGCTATGAACTTCATAATTTCGAAAAGTTCTTTAATCGAAAATTAAAAAAAAAATCTTGCAGGATTTGGAAAAAATTTCAAAGTCGACTGATTCAAACTTTCAAGCAACACAAAATTCCCAACTTAACGAAATGCTTTTGCTCCACCAGAATTAGAGTGCTCCACTTATTAGCAATTATTTTTGCGAATAATTAGTTTCTTGATTTAAGGCACCACTAAGATTACTGAAAATTTCCAAAGATTTCCTCCTTCTGAACAATTTTTAAATAATCTCCCACAAAAAAACGGCGTAATAACTATTCCACAATATGAAATTTAATCGGACGTAATATGGAACTATCAAATGAAAACTGGTGAAGTAAAAAAATTATCTGAAGAATATTTGTTTTCGGTGATTGCTTGAATTATAACCTCTCCTACCGAAATTATTTATTGACATTAATTACTTAAAAGCGTTTTAAAAATTTTGTGACGTTTCTATCAGCAGCAAAAATATAAAAAGTGAAACCTGAAAATTCTATTAATGTTATAGGTTTAAAAAGACACCAGTTATTCTTATATTAATATTAATTGCAAAGTTACAAATAGCAAAATAATCAGTTATCAAAGATGAATTCCGTTTAACTATGAGAAATTATAACAGTATTTCGGACGAAGAAGAGGATCTCATACTATTTACAATATCTGTACGCAAAAAATAAACTTCTAATGACAATAAATGCCATAATGATCTGAGCGATTCTATTACTTTATGGGAAGAGATTTAGAATAAATGAAAAAGTCTTTTTCATTTCATTTTTAAAATCTTGGATATTTTTCGCAAATATGTGTTTCTATATGATGTCAAAATAATCCTCAAAATATTATCGCAAAAAACGAACTAGCAACTTCATCTTCAAGATCTTCTGAACCGTCATAATTAGCACTCATTATCCTTTACAATTTTTTAGTAGTGGTAACTAAAAAACTGATTATCAGTTCACTTTTTGTGAACACAAGACTGAAATCTACGGTATATCCACATATCATATACTTAATACTCGTCCTCATAGAGTGGTTGAAACTGCTGACGGATACATCATCATAAATTATTCTTTTTTTCGAATAACTTTTGAATTTTAAAACAGTTCTGAGTGATTATAAAAATGCGAATTGGATGATTATATCGTTTAAAAATCTACTTCAAAGTTCCAAGAACTCTAAATTTATATACCACCTATCTAATTTCCAACATTTTTAAATGGCACGGAAGCAGCTAGATTCTGAATTTAAGTACGATTGATTTCCAAATGAACAACAAAGAGATTTTGGAAGCGTTTTTCTGTGTTAGGACCTAAATTATCCATCATTTTTTTAATTCTGAACCTGTAAATAAGAAAGCCGCATTCCAGGTTTCTATTAGAGTATTAAAATAATATTATTATGGAACCATACCTGGCCACCATAACGTTTTGGAATGTACGGTAATGGTACATGTGCTGAAAGTGAAGAACGTTTGACATATTGAAGAAGACGTTGCATTTCAGGCGACATCCAGGTACGTAGCAGTATCCAAGATGCTTTCAATAGTCCCGGATTTTCGAAAATTAGCAGTGATGTTAAACAACTTGGATAGTAATATTTGCATGAACGAATGATGAATTTAATCAAATCCAGATCCTATAATTTCCTCTACACTACTCACAGGCACAAAATATAGGTAGCACGAGCAATACTATGAAACATATCTTTTCGAATGAACTTTCTAAATCTAAATTCCTAAAAATATATATTTCCTCAATTGTCAATGTTTATAATTTTTCTAACACTTAATAATTTCATTCACAGATATCAATCCCAAAAAATCACATAACCAGATGATACATATTCACTTGGTATTTGTTTATTAATATTGTCTAGATGATACATATGACACTGGTGATGAAGTTTTACCATATTTTGTAAACAGCATAACGACATGTCAAATAGCAATGTGATCGGCGCTGCTTGCAGTTCCATTGTATGTCGTTCAAGCCAATAAATTATTAACTTATCACTATTTTGTTGTCCGATAACGTGTTGTCGCATATTTATCCACACTTCAAAAATGATTTCAAATGTCATCAAAACGCAGTGAAAAAATCATTACACGATATATTGACTCTGAGCTACTCTCACTGCTATCACCTCTATCATTATTATCATCGTTATGATCAGTACAGTCATTATTATTCATCACATACGATGAAAATGCATTTCATAACTAAAACCGACTTACATATTGATGAACCGTTGCAATCTTTGCCATGTATATATGCCAAACCTCTATCTAACAATGGTTTAAGTTCCAGCAAACTAATGTCTGCAAAAGGTAACTAAATGTCATTGAAAAATCTGACTTAAAACATTCGACGCAAATGGAAAATAATAAAACTTATAAGATTTTAAATTATTCTAGAAGTCGTGATAAATTTATTTCTGACTTTTCGAAATATATGCAAACAGTTTTACTATCAACACAGAAGGAACGTCGCCATTTGAGACACTCAACAATCACCGAGTATGTTACATCCACATCATAATGATATGCAAGAAGAAATGACAATGGCCACCAGTCTTCCGTAAATATTCGGTTCAAATCATTGTTGGATACTTTGGCCCCAGCAACAGACTGTGTTAACATTTTCTATAATTTAAACCTATATAATTTGAATTAAAAATAAGCATTTCGAATTTTAAGAATTGGCATTATGGATCATATCGATGGTTAAACTAGACCTACAGAGGCGCTTATTTGTGAAGTCATTCGTCCAGTGTTCTTAACCGGATTTTTTAAAATAAGTACCTTTCGCAGGCGTTTTCGTAACACCTGTAGCAGTTCATAGCATTCTTCGCCGGCTGTCATAGTCATCGAATACAACAACAATTGGTGGAAGACTTTGAATGAAACAGTGAAGTTGAAGTTCAGTGTGTTTGTGTATGTGTGTGTGTGTGTGTGTGTGTGCGTGTGTGTGTGTGTTGTTGGTTCAAGATGTTTGTTTAATGCACCAAGCGCCAGAAAGTTCGAGCTTTGAGCGGACAGAGCTAGTCATAATAGAAATGACGGTGTACTTAGGAGCAGCAATAAAAATAATAGATCAGATTATTTCTGATCAAGAACCAGAACTTTAGAATCCTTTCATTGAAATTAATCTTGACACGTAGGATATTAAAGTCAAGAGTAGAAAATTTGTTTAGCACAGTAAGCCTGTAGAGAAATTAGTGGAAACAAACATGAAAGGACTTCCCGTAGTGTTTACAAATAAAAAATCTGTTCAGGGAAATATTATGCTGTTGATGGACATTATCATGAAATAAAATAGGCCTTATTAGCAGCTATGAAAACATTGTGAGACGAAAATTTGATTTTTGTTGTGTTCACTTGAATGAAATACTATTTTTGGGGATGATATGTGACGGCGGTAATTTTACTCACAACGATAACCAATTGTGTCTAGCAGTGATCAACGGTGATATTATGATAAATATCATCATATATTTACATAACGAATATTATGGCATAAAAAAGTGAAAAATGATTATTGTCAAGAATGATTGTTATTTGTTATTCGAGTCTGTCTGTTTGATCAGCGAGCGGCGACATCAAACACTGATAACATTGACGATAGTTCGTATACTTATTATAACTTCCATAACTTGCTTCAAAAGTAAATCGATGGTATAATACATCTTTATTTCACCCTTGGGAAAAAAAGAAAGATGAAGTAAGGAAAGGTTTTCTAAAGATACGTAGGCAATCAACACTCTGGAATCAGCTGGTCCGTGTTTTCTCAACTTACTTTGGGATAATGAAATAATCAAATGGGAGATTATCAATTGTGAGAAAATGCAGCGGCGATGTTAACAAAAATTCAATAATATTTGAAACAAAAATTCAATAATATTTGAATGAACTTGGGTCGACCGAAGGTAGTGGCCGTGAGGTGGGGTGGCGGCATCGTCAAGTTAAGTTGACATGTGGACAGGGAATCCTGCGTTTGTCACAGTCATAAGACAAGTTTAACAAGCTTAATCACTTTCATCTCACAAACAAATCTGAAAAGGTTGGTTGGTTCCATGTTCTTATTTCATTTCCTTTACTTTTTGGCTTCTCCGATGGTCAACGATTATTCCTGCAAAAGGCTTACGCTCATTTCTTTAACCCTCTCATTACCACACACCCTTCTTCTCTCGCGATATCTCGTACGAGTCATGCGTAGCACTGGGGGCCAAGGAATAATTGTTGTCACAAGAAAGTGTCTCCTAACTTGGCACTTTCTGGCCTTAAACCAACTTCCGTTTTTATGTGACCCCCCCTTTACTTGACATCGATGTGCAATACCCCTGCTATAAATAAGAGGGCGGAGCATGTGATCGCTTGCAGTCTGCATGCTAAAGCGTCCTCCAAACTTCTGCTACTTAGTTCCTGGCTAACTGATATACATATACACAACTCATCAACTGCATGCCATCGCCAGCAATTGATTGCGACTATGTATTTGTGACACATTACTTGCACACACACACACACACACACACACACACACACACACACACACACACACACACACACACACACACACACACACACACACACACACACACACACACACACACGCATACGCACACGCACACGCAACACATACACACACACACACACACACACACACACACACACACACACACACACACACACACACACACACACACACACACACACACACACACACACACACATACACACACGCATACGCACACGCACACGCAACACATACATACACCCTAGGCATCACATACACCACTGAGACATGCACAGGCTGACAAACAGACGGTTAGACGGACAGGTGGACGTATGGTGCGATGTTTTGCACATTGTAGATTCTTCAACTTATTTTAGGTGCACGTGTGTGTGTATTTTTTGTACGTGTATGTCCGTCTGCTCCGTGAATGTTCCTTTCTTCTCTCCCGAACGTGTGAAGGATTATCATTTTTGGTATGGAATTCATTTTCACGTCGGCCACTTGTCTTTTTTTTTTCAAGATTTCGGATCTGCTTAGAAGATATGTTCTGATTTAGCATATAACTGTATTCCTTGTCTCTTTCCGTCTTTGTTTTTAGGCGCTAGTAGTTGTATTTGTTGTAAGGTCATTCTTAAAATTTTGATTGGTACGAGAGAGAAGGAATTCTCTGTAATGTGCCAACTGTTTATAGGTTTAGGCAGCCTGGAAGTTTCTGGAAAATGAAAGGATGAATTTTCTAAATTTATCTTTACACTCACTCCTATTTGGAGAAAGTTGGCATCAGTTTAATATTACTATACATTCTGATTTAGGATGTAACTGAATATATTCATAGATTTTTACATAAGGGAACTCTACACCGTAGATGGATTATTAATATGGACGAGTAACAAAATAGAATCTAACGGAGAATTCTTGGGAAGATGCAGAGAATGAATGTCTTGCGCTCTTTACTACTGTCTTATTTTTAATCCTATTTACATATCAATTCTATATTTTTCTCAGGTATCCCTCATTTCACCGAATTTTATTAATGTGCTGAGAGATAAGACACTCTTGTATGCGTATAGGCGTTGCGTTTAACTAGTCAAGTTATGAACCGGTTATCACAATACCATGAAATGAAAGTAAGGTGTGGTTTCGGAAGCAGTGTTTTTTTCTCTCCTTGACAACGATTAATCCAAAAAATTTGAGCTAGCCATACCCATTCTTGGATATGTCTTTTTTAAGCCTTGTTCCTAATCGCTGTTATTGGTGGAAAGACTGGTTGCTAACACGTGAGAGTATTTGTTGTGTGCTTGACACTTCAAATCTCGTTGCAGAAGCTACAGAATTTATGTCGTGGTTTACCTTGGCTGCCATAGGGGAAGATTGAAACGACTTTCTTCTCGTTTGTTTTCCGTGCAACATCTATGTACTTCGGTACTTTCCAAAACTGTACTGTTGGTGATAAAGAGAAAAAATGACACTTCTTGCGTTTTCTTAATAACCTGAACGACTTGAGTAGTTATTATGCATGGCATTATGCAACTTTTGGAATTTAGAATTTTCAGCAAGGATGTTTTGGTAAATAGTATAAATAGTACTGTTTAATTATCACGTTCTGGTTTAGGATATTAAGAAGGCTAGTGCTTTGTTTTTTCTTGAAAATAGATTATAAAAGGATTTCCCAAAATTTAAAGGAAGTAGATCTTATTTCATATGTTCCCAATTTTAGATTTTCAATTAATAAAAATTCTTCAAGATGGTGACTTAAGCCTGTCAGTTCATGAAGGTCATTAAACTTTTTAGTATTTTCACGAATTGCTTTTGCATGGACATCTAATAAATGAAATCAAAAAATCTGAGCATATCTTAAAGTGTGTTCAGACAGTTAAGATAAACTGATGTAAGTACGATGTCTCTTATGGTGATGAAAAGTTGTTATTCAGAAAAAATAGGAAATTCAAATGAAAAAAGTAAAGCGTGAAATAAAATAAAAAACGATCTCTCGAAATCGAATTATAAATATGAACTGGTCGTGGTTAGTCAATCCGGACTAGCTCACATAATTTTAAAATTCATTATTCCTGTTGTGAAAGATAAATCAAGTGCTTTTGTGATATTTTCCATCCTTCTTTACAAAAACATCTGACAATATTCAATTTTGGCTGTCTGACTTATCACTTTTTAGAAGGCTTACTGAGCCCAATTTTTAATCATCCATAACGTGACTGTACGGGCGTAGTACGACAAATAAGAGGATAGCAGGTTTATCGTGTTTTTTCCTCTCAGTAGATCATGTACGTTGCCGAAACTTCCGATGCGTGTTGAGGTTGCTTGACATTTTAGGAACTTAGTCATCCAAAGGTCTAGGGAATAGGAAAAGTAGAAAATTTTTGATTGGTTGTGCTCCAGTTTTTTTTCTTTTGTGAGAATGAAAATATGATGGGTTGAAACTGAAAGGAATAAGCCCCGTATGTACTTAGCTGTCAGTTTTATGAAATAATACCGCTGTTATTAGTTCTTATCACATTGCTGCATTTCGGACAAATAAATTTTTTCTAACTGCTGGTTGATTCTAGGTGAACTGGATATAAAAGTAATGCTGTGAGCTTGCTTGTAATACTATCTGAAACATTATCTGTATTAGCTTTTTTTATTATATAGAATGGTTTTTAAGTATATGTGTGCGTTGGGTTTTTAATGAAATGATAAATCGGAAGTGAGAAATAGTAATTGGTCAGAGAGTAGAATTCTCAAAAAGTAATGAATCGGTGAACTCTTTCAATTGCGTTGGTGAGATTCCTTTATGCTGTGCTTAATGTTGAACTTTGTGCTTTGTTTAGTTTTGAGATATGAAGTATGGAGTTGAGTGCGTAAACATTTCTTGATGCATTTATATGCTGATTGATTTGGAGCAACGAACAGCAAAATATTTTCATCAATATAGAAATAAGCTATAGGTTAGTAGGTCATGTGTGGGAGGGATTCGCTATTGCCATATCCTGCCAAACAAAAAGCTTTTAGAGCTCGTTTATTGATACTTTCATAGGATTTTATTGCTTACCTTTCTTTTGATAGCCATCCTTATTAATAAATGCGCAATTCATGTTTCCATGCTTGGCTTCTCTTGTAACAAAGGTAATGTTTATTTAAATTTATAACTCCAGTGTCTCAGATTAATAATCCATCAAATTTTTAGGATTTCTTGATATTTGAAGCACTAGATACATGTCTTGAGTGTTTCGTATTGTAATTCACTATTTTAATTAGTTTGCGTTCTACAATTTTTTGACGGCACAGTCACTATTGATTACTGGGTTAAATTTAAAACGCTTTACTTTACGAAGTTTCAGATTTTTGGCTTGCT